CACACACACACACACACACACACACACACAAACACACACACACACACACACACTTAGTAGATGGACACACTACCTTTCTTTTATTTATTTGTAATGTGGTGTTGAGGAGCAAACCTAGTGCCACACACATGCCAGGCAAGCACTCTACCACTGAGCTACAACTCCAGCCCTCCTAAGAGAATTTCTGAACGAGCCTCAAATGTTAATATAATACTGGGTTTAACTGACATATACAAAAGACACCAGACATAACAACTAAGCTTCCTTTCTTTCACTCCCCCAAGCCTATAACTCCTCTATCCCTGATCAGGTTCTGCTTTTATTCACTTACATATTTATTCAAGAAGTGTTTGGAGAGCACCTATCATGAGTTTCTCACTCTGCTGTTATCATTCCTTTTTAACTGTAAATTTTGTTTGTTCTTTTCATTCAACCTCCTTTATCAGCCTCTTTACATGTATGACATTTTTTTTTTTGTGGTGGTGGGGGGCACGGAGATTGAACCCAGGGGTGCTTAACCACTGAACCATATCCCCAGGCTTTTTATTTTTTATCTTGAGACAAGTTCTCACTAAATTGCTTAGGGCCTAAGTTACTGAGGCTGGCCTTGAACTTGTGATCCTCCTGTCTCAGCCTCCTGGAGTCCCTGGGATTTCAGGCATACCTCACTGTGCCTGGCTACAAGTATGACAATTTTAACTACTTTTCCTTGAATATCCTGTCCTTTCCCCAGAGAGAATATTGTGTTTTTATGATCCTCAGGGATTCTGCAAGCACTTTTGTTCTAAAAAATAATCCATTCTGACTTATTATAATTAATTCTTTCCAATATTTATTGAGATGTTTAACCGGGCCCTAAAAATTAAGGTGAAACCCTTGACCATCATTTTTAAAATCAGGGAGACAATAACATGTAAACAAATGAGTAAGTGGTAAAGTTAAATACAAACACAGGTTTATTACCTTCTCTCTCCCCAAAGAGGGAAAAGAAGACATGGTATTACATCTGACACAGTAATCTGCATGTGGTTGTTAGTCAGCAGGTATACAGAAGAGGAAAGGAACAAAACATAACTTACTGAGTGTGCGGAAAGGCCTCTGACTTGGTGAATGGGAGAAGAAACCAGGCTTCAATGCATTCGTAATCACAATGTCAAAAAGGTCTTCAAAATCATTCCTACAAAGCAAAGTTTTCATTAACTTATTTTAAGAAATTAGAAAAGGTGCACAGAAAGCAGAACTTAACCTCAGCCCATCTATTTATCACTGCATCATTTCTTATCTTTTGGTCAACTTTTATGCCTGTAATCCCAGTGGCCCAAGAGGCTGAGGCAGGAGGATTGCAAGTCTGAAGCCAGCCTCAGCAATTTAGAGAGGCACTAAGCAACTTATACCCTATCTCAAAATAAAAAATAAAAAGAGCTAGAGATGTGACTCAGTGGTAAAGCACTCCTGGGTTCAATCCCTGGTACATCCCCTACAGATGTTTAACCGGGCCCTAAAAATTGACTCTAGGCATGGAGCTGGCTTTCTCCTGATGGTAATATTACACGGTAAATTCAATAGCTTCTAAGAACTAGAAACTGGGAAAGACATTTTAAAATTTGGGGACCGAAATAATTTTGTTTGTTATATGGGTCTTAAAGAAACCAGCATTATAGCAAATCCAGTGACATTTCTCAGAGTACTCAAACCATGAAGAAGATATTTTATTTTGAAAATCAGTGTAGGCTTATAATATAGCAATTTTTAGAAGGCAACAATTAATGACTTTAAATATGTATTTAGTATTATATTATATTAAGGATTATTTGGAATGGCAAAGGAAAAAAGTCCTTCTCCCTGACACTGGAGAAACAATATTTCCCCAATATTCCAGAATATTTTTACAACCCCAAACTGTGATAAATAGAAATAAAGATAAGAAGAAAAATTTGGGTTGTCTGTGCTAGTGAAAAAGGAGTTATAAGTCCTGACTGTTTATTCTGAAGCAAGTCCCGCTACTAGAGCAGCAAATGTCTTCCCAGGAGGCACCTTACAAGGCCTCCAGGACTTCAGCCTCAATTCAATTAAAGGATCTCAGCCTGCATATATTTCAGAAAGCAGATCTACTTGCAGATAAGTACACCACAGAACACACTGAACACGGAAATTCTGAGACTAAAAAATGTTGGTGGAGTCAGCTTGGAGGCTAAAACTTGCTCCACACATAGCAATTCTGTGGGCTGAAATTTGAGAAGACTTTAGGGGAAATCTAACAGGCCACTGTAGAATCAAGCTCTGGGATATTTCCTTTTTGTTTTATTTTTCTTACAAGAATAACAATAAATTAACTATTAACAATTATTGAAACTTTACCAACTACTCTGCCTAATAATTATCCTGTAGTATGCTATTTAAACATCCCCTCACACCTAGGAGGTATTATTGTCCCATTTTTAAAACGACAAAATTATGACTTAAAAGTGGTTACAAAATCCTGCCCCAGGTCACACAGTCAGTTGCAAAGCAGGGCTTGAACCCGCATCTGTTTTATTTTAAAGTCTACTGCATTTATACTGCCTTGATTTTCACGGGTATCACTTCCATCCCTGGCAGTGGTAAATGGTATATGGCTCCATACTGAAATGGAGACAGAGGGGCTGTACTCCAGGAAAATGTCAAGAGTGTATTCTACAACTCAGAGTCTCTCAGTAATCATCCAAAGTTGAGAAATGAAATGTAGAGAAGACCAAAGGACCTTCCCCAAACTCTAAAGCCCAGATCATATGTTAGCTAAAAGTATACTGGCCCCAGTTAATATCACTTTGCTAAAATGCATCAGGGGTGGGTTGCTATCAACAAATATTGAGGTATGTTATGAGAAAAAATTATACTTGTCACTCAGCACTATTTAATATTTAACATAATAATATGGGTATAGTCCAGCTCTTTTAGAAAGACACTGGTCTGGTTTGCTATCAATTTTATAAGACAATAAAAGTGGAATGACTCATTACTTACTTACCCAAGGATATATTCGCAGAGAAGTCTACAGTAATCACTGTGAGAACTGGTAATTAACAAAAGAATTTTTCCAGCATTCTTTAGCTGTCGAAGCCATTTTCTTACAGATTCAGGACAACTGTGTAAATATTTGCCTGGATCTCTCTTTATTTCTGGAAAATATAGTCCAGAGTTTTCTGAAAAATAAAAACACCAAGATTTCTTTTTAAAAATATTTTGACTAAGCATATTCTCAAACTAAACTCTTTCAAAACTATAAAATTAGAAGAATAAAGACTAGATTCAAACACTCTAGCAATAATGCCAATACTAACTACTTTCTAAAAGTGTTTTTTTGTTCTTTACTTTCAAAAATGATGGTTGAAAACCAGCCTCAGCAACTTAGTGAGTTCCTAAACAAGTTAGCGAGACCCTGTTTCAAAATAAAAATAAACAGGGCTGGGGATATGACTCACTGATTAAGCACCCCTGGGTTCAATCCCTGGTACCAAAAAAAAAAAAAGATGGTTGATAATGTCAGTTGATCATATTGGTTGAATATTAGATGAGAATAAACTGTTGAAACAGTGAATACAATATCATCAACATTTCCAATTGGTATTTGGACACCAATTGATTAATAAATATTCTTTCTCAGAGGCACAGTAGGTTTGTTTTTGTTTTGTTTAATTTTTCTGATGGATCACTTACCACACATGAGAGCCAATTTATAGCCTCTGAGAGGCACTGTGATGTCAAATGGAAAAAAACTGGACCAAATAAGCCAGAGAAAGCCAGAAGGCCTAGAGCTGATGGAGAATACTGAAAGATTTGAGTCACTGAACTGGGACCGCTGGCTCTGCCCTGCTGGGTCTCTCATAAGTCTACCGTTTTAGGCTAGGCTCTAAAGTGGACAGATGGAGGCAATATCTCTAGGTGTCATGGTTAGACCATCCCTAGTACTTGACCCAGTGCCTCAAAAGCTGTGCATACAGCAGATGAGTTCAGATTTGGTTGAGATGCTTCTAGATTCACATGGTATTTTAGAAACACTGTTCTTTGAGCATGATAGTACTAATAAGCAGAGAAAGAATCCAAGTCTTACTTTCTTTAACTGCTAGGAAAAGGACACAGGAAGTGATAAAACAATGGGTGAACGTGCTTGTACTGAATGACAGACTGTAATAAGTACACATGGACTACACCTGCAACCTTAACAGTGTGGTACACGTGAAATAATGGAAGAGAAGGTTATATTACAAGAATGTCAGGACAGAAGGGTCTCTAAGTAAAATAAATAAGCAAAAAGAAAAAAGCAGAGATAGTAAATAATTTGTGGCCTGCCTACCCAAGTATATTCCCCCTCTTCTTTGCTAGAGAGTGCTCAGGTTTGTTTGAGGTTTCCTCCTCCTCTCAGGGCTGTGTGTGTGTGCCCATGGAGGATCTGGGTCTCTATCAGTCTATACTCATAATGGTAACTCCCTCCACCTACCAGCAAATTGTTTGAGAAGGTAAAGGGGACCCAAGCATGGCTAATCAGAGCAGAACACTTTTAGGTGGCCCCTGGAGTAATATACATTACCAATATACGGGTGAATCTCCCTCTTCTAGGACTGGATTTTTGCAACAATTTTAAGTTCTACTTATCTACCAACAGCTATTTTCAACACAAAGCACAAGTCCACCATACCAGGGATGACAGAGTAGAAATATGAATGGCAACCTGGGCTCTGTTGATATTGTGGGTCTCAAATTAAGCCACTGAATCAACTACCACTGGAAGTACCACTCAACCTCTGGGGATGGTTTCTGATCATGTGAAACCTCTCAATTTAATACACCAACTATTTGTAGCCTAAAACATCTTGATTAAGAAAATAATACATTGAAAGAATATTATAACCAGAACTCCCACCCTCCCCCCAAAAACCCACCTTAACCAACAGGCAAATATAACAATATGAGAATAATATTCAAATATCAGAAGTTTAAGAACAAAACCAGTTTGTGCCCTCCTGTATTCTGTCCTACATTTTTACAGGTACATTTGTGAGAAATTCTCTAGGCTCTCCTAATTTTCCGGAAACCCTGTAATGGCCCTTACAAAAGTTAAAATATATTTTGCTTTTCAGCAAAAAAAAAAAAGGCATTAAGAAAAGGCCAACTTAAGAAGAATATGTTAAAATGAAATGGCTGAGAACAGTTTGATTAGTGGGTGATTATCAAAGTAATCAAAGAATTTATTATACCTAAGAGAGTCATACGTGAAATTATTTTACTCAAAAAAACAGATTTGGTAGCAAAAGGAATTTTATAGGTTGAATAACAAAAATTTATAGTGGGAGGGCTGTGGCTATGGCTCAGTAGTAGAGTGTTTGCCTAGCATGTGTGAGGCACTGGGTTTGATCCTCAGCACCACATAAAAATAAATAAACAAAATAAAGCCACTGTGTCCATCTACCAAAAAAAATAAAAAATAAAAAAAATTATAGTGTGTAATGACAAATATATTTATAGACTTTAACACTTGTGTACTCAGAAAACAACTGTTTACTGTTATTTTTTTCTAAGCTATATGTGCTTAGTGCCATCTAGTGATCAAAATATAAATTACTATTGAAAAGCAAATTGGCTGAGCATGGTGCCACACACCTGTAATCCCAGCTACTGGGGAGGCTAAGGCAGGAATCTCGCTCACAAGTTAGAAGTCAACCTGTGCAACTTAGTGAGACCTGTCTCAAAATGAAAAATAAAAAAGGGCTGGGTATGTAGCTCAGTGGAAGAGTGCCCTTGGGTTCAATCCAGTACCAGGGGCGGGGGAAAAAAAAGCAACTATTAACATTTCTAAATGAATAAAATGAAGCATATACACTTCATTTAAATTTCTTACCTAGATTAATTTTATATCTCTTAATAGACCTAATTTAAAAGAGAAAAATATAATAATCTAATTAGAAAATTATACTCTGAAGTAATATTGGAATTGTCTTTATTTTGTTCACAAGACACTGAAGAGGACAGTACAAATAGATACCAATGGTAGATTAGGAGCTGCTACTACAAAAAAAATCACTGGCTGTCACTGGCAGACATGTTTTTGTCCCTTTGTAACCTCAAACTATTAAGGTTTAAGAGATGTAATTACACAAGTACACATTCATCTTTTAAAAAAATAAAGCTAGTAAATGAAAGGGAAAAAAGTTAAATATACTAACTGAATTATAATTTTTATTAAATATTTTCTCCAAAGACACTGGAAAGTCTTATAGGTAAGGCATACATTTTTCTGCTTGCATGGAACAGGCATTCAATGCATGACTCCCTGAATTAGTCAGGAGCAGACATACGAACACTTATGCTTATTTATATTCAAAGTAATTATATGATTTGTAATACATACTCCAACAGTGACAAAAATTATATTATTCATACACTATCAAAATCACCAAAAATACCCTTCCATTATTGCACTCCTATCAAAAATGCTTAATTATGATACTAACAGATAAATACTGATTAGACAAGATAGAATTTAGACCTAAGGAGGAAGGAAATGGTGTTGTTTGTTCTTAATTCACAAAGTAGCCTGTGTTTTCACTTAACCTCCAAAAGGCATTCTACTTCATGGCCCTTTTATGTAATTCATTTTCCTGGCCTTCCCACCCCTCTTATATCCTCAGATGCTGGTATTTTTTTTTTGTGTCCCAATGAGATTAAATATAATTGTTTTAAAAAGCTGGTTCTAAAGAAAAAAAAGGATTTAGCTCTCTTATGTTAGAAATTTGGTTATTACACTGTCATGGAAATAACATCAAAATGTTGCAGAAGTCTGATGTGTACATAAAATGCCCAGCATCAGTCATACAGGATTTAGGGACCTCTGGTGGTTAAAAAAAAAAAAAAAGAAGATTAAATTGGATATTAGATATTATAAATACTTCCTTATTTTGATAATACCACATCACCATTTCTGTCCTCACTGAATAAGGAAGCATTTTTCTTGCTAACTGTACCACTACTTTTCCTGTAATCTGCTTGTTTTCAAAACTGTGGTCTAAAGGAGTAGAGATGCTGGGATGCTAACATCTCCACTGTCAGCATCCAGCTAAGGTCAGTCATTATTTCCACTATAGAATATAATTTAGGAGATTTAAATATTTACAGCATTTCCCAGTTATATAAGAATATGCTAGTAAACAGATAAAATGTTTAGCTATGAATTATTTAAATATGCTTACTGTAAGGATGATCCAATTTTCTAATAAAAAGTAAAATTTTTTCCTGACTAAGACTGAAATGTTTTTTCAAGAATTAAAGACATAAATTTCTTTTGTTTATGGGGGCAAAGAATGAAATTAAAATTTAATATTAAAATATTTCCTGTTTATGTTTCTACATGACTTATATCAATCTAATATTTTATTTGTCAATAAAGAAATCTCAAATATATAAAGTGAAAATTTATATGTCAAATATAATGGTTGAAATGGAGAAATGAAATATATAATTTATTGAAAAACATAATTTATAAAATTTACCTTTTAACAGTATCTGTCTCCTATCTCTGTGATTTAATTCACGTACTTGGATCCTTCCCTAAAGATCCTGATTTAGTTGGTCTTGGTAGGACCACAATATTGTTGCTTTTTAAAAAGCTCTCCAAGTATTTCTAATATGACATTGTGATTAGGAATTATTGCTCTAAGCTAGGCGCTAGGGCTATGCCTGTAATCCCACCAGCGTGGAAGGCTGAGGCAGGAGGACTACAAGTTCAAAGCTAGACTCAGAAAAAGCAAGGCGATGAGCAATTCAGTGAGATCCTGTTTCTAAATAAAATACAAAATAGGGTTGGGGATGTGACTCAGTGGCTGAGTGCCCCTAAGTTAAATCTCTGGTGCCCCCCCCAAAAAAAAACAAGAAAAAAATTACTGCTCTAAAATATAAGAACTAGGGTTCTTAACTATTATCTATATATTTTATATGATTCACTGAGAATCATAGGTTCTCAGGGGGCAAGTACTTCTTAATTTTATAGCATATTATCTAATATATAGCCATGTAGACAATAAAGTCAGTCAACAAATATTAACTGCCTCTGATTATATTAAAAGTCATTGTGGTTGATGATCTTAAAGTATTTACTCTTATTTTACACAAACTCAGAATGGTATTCCACATTTAGTTACATATTCTAACTTTACAATGATAGAATTCATATTGATGACAGGAAAGAAAGGATGGCATGGAATTCTTTTACAGAAATTTTTTTACACAGTGTGAATTAGTCTAGAGAAGCCAAAGAGACTGCTTTTTCTCCCCAAAGCCACCAAATGGCAGACCTTGGACTGAACAGTCTATACATAATGGTTTTCAGTAATCAATGCTTTAACATTTTTGAATTTTACTTTATTGTATATGTTTACAGAATATAAATAATGTATAGTTTATGTCAGCATAATCTTTTGAATAAGTTAAAGAAGACCAAATTAACAAATATTTAAGAAAAATTCTTCATCACACTTCTGATTTTTCATCTACTTCAAATATGAAATACAGAACGGATCACAAATTATTAAAAGGCACAGTAATTATGACAATAAAAAATAAATTTCCTGGGATATTAGCCCTCTCCCCAAATCTCAACCCAAAAGTTTGTTTTTGCTTTTTGCTTTTTGAGAGAGAGAGAGAGAGAGAGAGAGAATGAGGATTGAACCCGGGTCCTACCTGTGCCAGACGAGCGCTCAACCGCTGAGCCACAATCCCAGCCCCCCAAAAGCTTTTGATATTTCTTCAAAACATAGATTGGTCTTCAAAACCATGCATTTTCAAGATCATATTTTATCACAAGGGTGCACTGTTTCCTTAATTAATTTAGTTCAAATAGTCTCAGTGTCTCCAGAAATACCTTAATAAAGCCAACAGGATTCAGAGCTATAACTAAGAAGAAATCCATTTCAGAACACACATACTATTATAATAGCCAAGGATTACTCATCCAATGTCTGGATGTCTCGGAGCATATTTCACATCAGGAGAGCCAGGCTGTTAGGTCCCTGCTGTATCTACCCTAGCTCATTGACTAATTAAGCAGCTATTTGAAATGAGGCATCACTGTATTTCATCATACTTTTCCACTTAATCAGTTGTGAAGTTTTAAATCAGTGAAATTTTAATTCAGATAACTGGTTTGACAAAGTATTAACTTTGTAATATAAAATTTAAAGTTATGGGGTTGATAAAATAAACCAGTATTAGAATAATCAAATAATTCATTTTTGATATAATAAACACAGATATACAGAGTCTATATGTATACTCTGCAACACTACTTGAGGAACAATAGTGCCCTAAAACAGAGCACTTAGTTCACACATGGGCTTCAGTGCCTCAATGAAACCCCAACACCGGTTGCAACATTCTGTCCCTCCATGTGTTTGAACATGTTATAAGGAGCAGAGCAGGTGCAGGCCTTCTAGCTTTCATCAGATTCCTGGGTATAGAGATGTGACCCCATCAGGCAAAGACTTAGATTTTCCTAGACTATGACAATGCATTAACAAAAGCATTAACACCCCTCTCCTTGTCATTACCAAGAAAAATTTTACAGAAGTACTTAGAGTAACAAAAAACAAAGGTAGTATAGATTTTTACACAAAGTATAATTCCTAGGCTCTGTATGTATACATCCCAAGTCCAATAAATTTATACTCACTTAGGATGACTAAAGAAAAGCTATTCAAAGTTGATTTAATTTGTATGTTGTGAATTACCCAATATACAACTTAACAACATATAGAAGGCACCATAAGTACTCTTCATGATGAAACTATACTGAAAATAAGATTGAAAGTTCACTGTGTTAGGTTTTCTGCTGTTGCATAATAAACTACCTCAAATATGGTGTCTCAATACAGCAGTGAATTATCATTATCTCTCATGGTTCTGAGGGTTGACTGAGCATAGCTGAGTGGCCCTTTCTTGGAGTGGTGCCTGTCATATGTCACTGGGTCTGGGCACCTGGACTGGGACAGCCTGCTGTGTGGGGACTGGTGAAAGAAATTGGGCTAGGGTGGGCTTCTGCAGAGCATGAGGGTCTCAGAGAAACTAAGCTAAAATGGCAGTGGTTTTTCCCCAGAGCAATTATCCAAGACAAGCAAAAGCTGCAAGAATTCTTAAATCTAGTCTTGCAAGTCCTAATGTGTCACTTCTGCTGTATCCTCCTGGTTATACAGGGACAGTGTATTTTCAAGGAGAAGAAAACAGAGGGCATGAATTCCAGGAGGCAGGATTCATTAGTGAGCTATCCTTGCAGACCGGCTACCAGGAATACTAATAGGCCTGTGTGATTCCTGCCAGTATATCTCCTATCCATCTGGATCTCTATGGGAATTTTAAACATGGTTTTAATTTAATACCAAATTTTACAAATGGAGAGTTTAGAATAATTTCATTATTGACATACTTTGAGTGCTTATTTTGTCAAACAATTCTAAGATCTTTATAATCATTAATATACTTAATCCTCTTAACTCCATGGATAGACCCTATAATAGTTGCTTTTTGTAATTGAAAAACTGAGAACCAGAGAGCTTAAGGAAATTGCCCAGAGTCACATAGTTAGAAATGTGGCAGAGCAGAGCGATTGATGTGGCCAGTCTGCTTTCAGAGCTTGTGCAACACTTCTTCTTCAGTGATAAGGCATTTGGGGACTCAAAAGAGTACTTTAGGGCGTATAAGTCCTTATTTTCTTTTTTTGCATTTGGGTGCACTATCATGTAGTGTCACAGGTTCAGGGCCTTTGGGGTTGACAGGAATTCAAATGAGGAAAAACTTAAATTTGGACAAATCAAATTAAATTTTTACAGAGTTAAAAAAAAAAAGCATCTATTTTTTTATGGCTTGGGTCTGAAATGTCCTCCAAAAGTTTGTGTCTGAAATGTCCTCCAAAAGTTTGTGTGTTGAGTTTGGTGGCAATGCAGTAGTGTTCAGAGGTGTGACCTTTGGGAGAGGACTGGATTATGAGGGCTCTGACCTCATCCATGAATTAACCCATTAATGGATTAATAACTTAACAGGCTATTGGAAGCTGGCAGGAACTTTAGGAGATAGGGCCTAGTTGTAGGAAGTAGGTCATGGGGTTAGGGTGTGTGTGTCCCCAAAGGATAATTTTTGTTCCTTGCCCCATTCATCTCGAGCTTTCTTTCTGCCTCCTGGCTGCCATGATGTGAGCAGCTCTGTTCTACCATATGGCCCCTTTCAACTCCTTCTGTCTCACCACAGGTCCAGAAACAATGGGACCAAGTGACCATGAACTGAAACCATGAGCCAAAATAAAATTCGCCTCCTTTGAAATTGTTTATTTCAGATATTTAGTCTCAACAATGGAAAGTTGCCTAACACACTTTCAGTATGCATTCTAATTACAGTCACAGTGTCTGGAACTGGAAGAAACCAACTCTTTTAACCCTGTTACGTTAAGATAATTAAGTAGAGCCCACAGATTTTGCTCAAAATTATCAATAGTAACCCAAGTAGGAATGGAATACAGTGCTCGAGAATCTCAGTTCACTAAAACTCACCACTTAACATAGCTAAATCTCTGTGTTTTACATCTAACTTAACTGGTGATGATTGTTTCTTAATAACTTGCATTCAAAAGAAATAGAAGTCAAATTCTTCAATGTGTATATCTACTTAGTTCTGAAATTTTTAAGAATTATAAAATTAAGTTCTAGTTTTTCTCAAAATTAGTACATTAGCTCTTTGTAGTCACTGATCTACAGTGACCTCTGAAAGTCACCATGCTGTTATTTTGAGTGTGGAGCCCTTCCCAAAGCCCTCCATCACACTACCTCTGGACATCAGTGAAAGCATTCATCCCAAAGCACCATAATCAGCACTTATAATAATCATCATTATGTGTTTTTCTTTCTTCCAAGACTATGAGATCTTTCTAAAAAGAAACCATTTTTACATTCATATTTATATTTCTGATGTCAAGAAAACTGTACAGTATGAATAACTACAGAAATACCTGTGTGTGTAGAAAGGGCTATCATGCAAGAATTAGCAGGTGACCATAAAGACAGTTTGGCAAATCACAGCCAATTGGCCATTTTACATCTTAAAATACCAATATAGTACAAACATCTACATATATCTTTGATTTTGTTTTTTGATGTACAAAGCCTATATTTACTACTTGGCTCTTTAAGAAAGTTGATTCCTGATATAGTATTTCATAATTATAGAGCAGTAAATAAAAAATTTATAGTTCAGAAAATGCCAAAATAATAATAGATGAAATTGTTAATTCAAGGGACATTACTGAAAACCTAGGTAGTCTCAGAAGAGAGAACGTTACAAAATCATTTGCAATAAAAATGCTTTTCTGAAAGACAACATAAATAACATTATGTACCTTTTCATCACAGTGGATTCCCAGGCACGATATAACTGTCCCCCAATTAGTCTCTGGCTTGGGTCCTCTAGCAGGAGATTCCATAAGTCAGAAGAGGGGTCTTTTCTCTCTGTTATCTTCCTTGGAATTTTTTCAGGCAAATCAAAATCCGCCTTTGCTACTGCCTTTATTATTCTTAGTCTCTGAATAAAATTTGGAGGTTCACTTGGTCTACTTGTTAATAAAGCAATAGCAGGGCCACAGCAGAACACTAAGCTCAGGGCCAGAAAGCTAATGTCTGGTAATATTTTTCCTTGTTAATGTCAGAGGAAGTAGAAAGATCCAAAAAATGCACAAGATAATATGATGATATGGTCAGGAGCACCTAGAGTTTGTAACCTGAATATGAATAAAGGCTCTACTGCCTAAACATGCCTTAAAAATAACCTGTACAAGAAGGTAAATTAAAGATACTTGCTGATAAACCCTGGGACAGGTTTTAGGTGCTAGCTTCAAAGAGATGTACCCTAGGTTTCACCTCAGATAGCTTGCAAATGGATTTGCCAGGCATACAACCATTTTGGAGGGTTTGGTTTTCTCCAGAAGTTGGTCCACTGACAGATTATCCTGACTTGAAACCTTCCCCCTCCTCCAGAAGAGAGAAGCTGGAAAAAATTAGAACAGATGGGTACCTCAGGGCAAAACAGGCTTAAGATATGCCAATGCTATTCTAAAAAAATAAAAAATAAAAAAAAAAAATTAAAGTTGACTTTTCTAGCTTTGAGGCACAAAGAGATCAGAAACAGGAACAGGAACAAAGGAATCATAAGGTAGATATTAGGGTTCACTTAGTATAAATGTTTAAAAGAAACCTGCCTCCCACTGAGGACTCAAGTGCCTGATTATTTAACACACAAAAGACCTGGAATAGAACTTCCACTGCATTTCTTCTAACCTGGTTTGTAGTAAATGGCCTAACAGAATGCTGAGACAGCCTTTTAGCTCAGTTGTGAAACAGTAGAGTTGTGCTTTAATACATATTGGGTATTTTTCTAAACTAATAAACATAAAAATCATATATTCATTTCGTTTCTTTTCCTTTTTTTTTTTTTTTTTGCAGTGATGGGGATTGAACCCAGGGCTTTATATGTGCTAGCCAAGCACTCTATCACTGAGATCCACCCACAGCCACCAAATGTATTTTTTAAACATTTAAACATAAAAGCTGTTTTAAATCTTTAAAGAATTAAATAACAACTTTTTTGCTAGATTAACATTAAAAAATCTAAAAATTAAAGTTATAAACTCATTTGTTTTTTTAAATATATTCTTGTCTATATCTACCTATCTATCTATCTATCTATCTATCTATCTATCTATCTATATATATATATATATATTTTAAAGACAGAGTGAGAGAGAGATAGAGAGAGGAGAGAATTTTAATATTTATTTTTTAGTTCTCGGCGGACACAACATCTTT